TACTGCTCCGATGGATCTCCAAATTTGGATATGTTGTAGTTCACGAAGATAAGGAACAACTTTCATGAAGATGGTTTTGCGATTTGCGCCACAGAAAATGGTGTTATATTGAAAGCTACCACTCCCTCTACGTAGACACCCTCCTTGGTTTACCTAGCTCCAAACCCACATTTCCTTCAACAAGACTGCAGTAAATCAGATTGTGAGGAAAGATGGCAATCTTTCCAGCCAAAACGGAAAGGCAAAGCAAAAGAAAATTAAACACATTGATGGCATATTATGAAAGAATGAAAAGGAAAAGTAGTAAATGATTATGAAGTGTAGGAACAACATCATGACAAATGATGATGAGTCATGCTTTCCCCCCTCCTTGGATTCGGCTGAAAACATCCCCCATGGATTCAGTGAACACATCACTGTGACAAAAAAAAAAAAAAAAAAAAAAAAAAAAAAAGCCAAGGCCTCCACTTCTTTGGGCCTAAACACTTCATAACAAATATATGAAGAATGGGTTACCACTTAAAAAGAAACAAGGAAGTTTTTACTTTGACAGCAGACACCTCATTCGGCAACTCTCTTCGCCTGAAGACTTGGGGGACTCCCACCATATGCTACTGCACCTTGATACTCGGCAGTCTCACAACCACTCAGTGACTTGGATTTTTCAAGTCTCCAACCGAGAAGTTTTCCTCACTCGGGAAATTAAGGGAACACTACCTCAAACCTACATGCTTCACTCACAAAGCTTCAACAATACAAGTTTCAACAAAAGAAAAATTCAAAGAACTTTAGTGAAGAAGGCTTTGGTGTATTTAACACAATACGTTGAAATGAAGCAAAGCTTATTTATTGATATTTTCCGATAAGTTACAAATATGTACATATACATGAGTCAAAATAAACAAACAAGAGGGAGCCTTCACAAAGGTTGCTTAGGAGAAGTCTCAGCAGTCGGTAGAGCCCCAGAAAGAGAAAGGCACCGGAGGGTGGTTATCCGGAGCCTCAGTACTGGACAAAACCCCAGAAGGAGGAGGCATTGGAGGTTGATCATTTGGAGCTTCATTACGCGGTACAGCCCCAGAAGACGAAGGCAATAAATGCCTTTGGAACAAACCCACAAACCTCTGATGATCAAGTAAAACCTGACCATCAGATTCCTTCATCTGGTCAAGCTTCCTCTTCATGTTTGTAGCATAGTCATGTGCGAGCCGGTGCAACTGTTTATTCTCATGCTTGAGCCCTCTAATCTCCTGTTTGAGACTCATCACTTCAGCCGCCAATGATTCAACTTGGCGGGTTCGAGCAAATAGGCGTTGGGCCATATTAGACACAGAACCTGCACACTGAACACTAAGAGCCAGAGAATCCTTAACAGCCAACTCATCAGACCGTTTGGAAAGTAGTCTGTTATCTTTGGGAGTGAGAAGGTTCCTGGCCACCACCGCAGCGGTCATATCATTCTTCATCACAGGAATCCCCAACGGTAAGAGGACCAGTAGGGGATATGAAGGATGGGCGCCATATGTTGTCTGGAGAAGGCGTGGCTGCCTCTTCTCCAAGGTTCAAGTCAAAACGACGGTCGGAGGGTCCAGACATTTTCAAATGTGTTGAAGAGAGAAGAGGTCAGACAAATCAAGATCTTAGAAGTGCAAGAAATGGAGCTTCTACTGGTAGAGATTCAAGTGTGCTGTTGGAACTTAATGCCAGCCTCTATAAAAATCTGCACTCGACGGAGCTTCAGAAATCGAAGAGGCGTTTGCTTTCTCAAAAGCTGGGCTGCTCAGAGACCACGAGGGCCGATCTCAGAAATCGAAGAAGCACCTGCTTTTTCAGCCTCGTCAGCACCTGTCACATGCACACTCAGCTTTGCGGAAATTACGGGCAATTCTGTCGAAGATTTCTGGTGAAGTAGAAAGCACGTGAATCTTACTGTTCAATCACCGCTCTCCATATGCACCATCAACTCCTCGGGTACCACATATAACTTTGTCAAAGATCTCTGACAAAGTTTAGGCACGAGAATTTCGAAGTTCCAGCTACCCTACTATTACCCATAAGGGTAAAGGAACAGCACCACTGCTTGACAACTGGAAAGTCCCTATGTGTGTCGACCTCCGTGTTTTGCGGCAAGACAGGTTGGCAAGAACGTCCAACCTTTACTCACATTCGAGAAAAGACTCCCAACATAATTACTTTCTCAAAAACCGGAGTAGCACCGCTTTCCGAATCTCGAGAGTCAGATCCTCGACGGGATTGCTTGTTCGAAAACCGAAGAGGCACAACTCTCAGAACTTCGAGAGCCAGATTTCCTTAGATAAAGCTTGTCTGTAATCTTCACACGTAACATCAGCTTCCAGATACCACATACCACTTTTTCAAAGTGCTCTGACAAAATTAAAACACGTGAAGCTGGCAGCTCCCACTACATTGCTATGACCAAGAAGGGTAAAGGAATAGCATTACTACTTGTTATTGGGAAATCCCTATATACATTCGACCTCCCTCCTCAACGGACAGGCAAACCTGCAAAAATGCTCAACCCTTTCTCGCATTCGAAAAGGCACCCTCAACATAACCTCTCGAAATACTCAGCTTTATTTCCCCCCGATAATACCTCAGCAAATAAGCCACACCAAGAACAAGAGTATCTCATATCATCAGGGTCGAAAGCAAGAGTATCCCATATCATGCTTTCTCCCTGTCTTTGTCTTTGTCCTTGTCCACACCTGCAGGACAAGGAGAAAGAGAGCAGTCAGTCGGAACCTTGAAATCAAACCTCCAATTTGGAACTGACTGCCTGGAACCTTTGCCTGGTTGCTTACTTAGCATTGCTCTCGAGTACTCATCCTCAACTGCTGTCAAGGTCACGAATTCCACCGGCAAATACCTCATGACAGTTGATCAGATATTGGCTCTTTACACTGAAGCTGCCAAGCGTGGATGAGTCACTATGAAGGAATGTTCTGAAGGACCATTTAAATGCAAAGGTTGCACACCACTTCTGCCATGCAAAAGATTGAAGCAGAAGGTTCAACGGTGAGCTGAAACAGATCACTACAGCACGACACCTTTCCATACCACATTCATTATTCCGTCAACAGCAAAAGTATCCCATATCATCAAGGTCGAACGTACTCTAGATTTGATGGACTTGTTTTGACCCTCAAATTTTTGAGTCGGCCTTATACTCTGAAGGGCAACCAGAAAACCCTCCAGCACAGTTCAAGAATAAGCCTGTGGAAAGTTACTTCTTCAAAAGCAAAAGTATCTCATATCATCTCTTATCCATTTGCTTCTCCTTATCCTGGCAGTTGAATGAGAGACAAGGAGAAGGAGAACAATCAACCGGAAGCCGAAGTCAAACCTCTGATCCTGGGTTGCTTACTTGGAAGTTTGACTGCTTACCTTGTCTGTCACCTCTTTCGGCAGATCTCCTAGCTCGGCGACTTGGGGGACTCCTACTATAGGGTTTGTATCGCACTTGACTAAGCCCGAAACTACAAGTAAGCTTCAAGTGAAATTGATACATTACCTTGTGCGTCAACATCAGCTTAAATACACCATTCCCGGATGGAGGAAAGGTACTTCCAGAGAAGGGCAGATGAAGATCAGACCACACTTCGGTACTTAGAAGTTTCGTGATTACTCAAGGGATTGGATCTTGCAAGTCCCCAACCGAGGAGTTTCCCTCACTCGGGAACTTAGGGGAGCACTGTTTGTACCATACTTGACCAATCCCGAAACTACCGAGCACCGGCCAACGCTATACTGTCAAGGACCCAGAAGAGTTCCCCTCCGACCAGGAGGCCAATCACTACTCGACACGTGTCAAGATTAGAAGCCAATCAGAGCGCAGCACGTGTCGAACATCAAGAACCAATCATAACATGACACATGTCAATGTGACAAAGCTACAAGTTTTTCTATAAATAGGGGTCATTCCCCCATAATATGGGCTAATGCCATTTTGTGTTAAATCATTCACAAGAACTCACTAAATTGAGAGCTTGATCCTTTGTACTTGTGTAAGCCCTTCACTACTAATAAGAACTCCTCTACTCCGTGGACGTAGCCAATCTGGGTGAACCACGTACATCCTGTGTTTGCTTCTCTGTCTCTATTCATTTACGTACTTATCCTCACTAGTGACCGAAGCAACCAAGCGAAGGTCATAAAACCTGACACTTTCTGTTGTACCAAAGTCTTCGCTGATTTTGTGCATCAACATAAGTCATTGTCACATAGCTACACTCTTTAGGCCAATTCACAAACGTTTGTGAATATGATCGGAAATGTCATATTATAAATCGATTCGTAAAGATGATTTTTCAGCAAAAAAAAAATTATATTGTTTAGTCATTGAGCTATATAAAAACATATGGTAGGAATTGATGAAAGTATTACGAACTGTTTCTGAGGCATTTTCATTCTTAAGTGGCCAAACATTGTTCATTTTTAAGGCGAAAAAAAAAATCAATGGAGAAAAATTCTAACAGATTTTAGTATGTGGCTAGAACAAATTTTCATCAATTGGAACATTTTCGAAACGTTTTAAATGAATTCTGAAAATTTTTACAAAACAACAAAAGTGCTATGAAAATAAGTTTTATGACGGTTTTGTTGAATTCTCCAAAACAAATTAAAAAAATAACAATTGTATATAAAAAAGAGGGTTATGCTATCTACATACTTATTTTTACTTCTCATATGTTCTTTCAATATTCGCTGCTCGGATGGAGTAAATTGGAGAAAATCAAGGCCAAATATTAACAAAGGTGTTTGAAAGATAAAAATAAACGTGTGAATAACATTAGCTATTTCTTACATAAATTTCTCCAGTATGAGAAGCGGAAAGACATGTCCAAGTAGAAGAAATTTTTCAATGTGACTAGCATATAGGATGATACAATTCATGTCATTATATAAATAATGAGATATATGGATCAAAAAATTAATAACTTAAAAAATAAAATTTCTTACTATTTATATATAAACAAACGATGTACCACCTATTCCGGTCAGAACGAAAAATTTATGGAGTAGGTGATATGGCTTTCGACAACTTCTGTGTTCAGTCACTAGTACCAAATCCAAAATTTTCATCTCATCACCAAGTTTTGGTTGCCGCAAGTAAAATCCTCCATGAAAGTGTAACTGTTAAAAAAAATTGAAAAAAGGCACTGTGTTGTGTGTTCCTCTCCTCTCTCCCTTTTGTAAAGCCCTAATCTTCCCCTGAATTTAACTTTCTTCTGGGTTGGCTGGCGTCTGCAACATTTTCTACCAATGAAGGTCAGTTCTCTCTCTCTCTCTCTCTCTCTCTCTCTGTTTGTTTTGAGAATTGGGAATTTCCCGTGTATTTATTAGATTAAGTAAAGGAAACAAATTGTTCCAGTTTTTTTCCACGTTTTGGATTGAATTAGTTGATGGGTAACAATTATGACGCTAAATCTGGATTGCAAATTGTTGCCAATTGGTCTTATGGGCTCTTGTTTGAAAATTGGGGAGAAAAGTAATACAATTTTTGAAACAAACTCAACATTTTAACAGTTGGATAAATCTTAATGGAGACAGTAATCGTTCGTTGCTGCATCGAGTGTGTTTAAGGATTTTTCAATCTTCTGTATGAGCAAAGACTACCCCGGTTGGACAATATACTTGGAAGAAATATGGTTGCAAGGTTGGTTTAGTGTTTGGAAGAGTGTTTCTGGTCGATGCTGTAGCATGTAGTCTTCATCTTGCAGAACTGTTAAGCAATTTTATTTTTTTCGTAGGTCAAATGTCCCCTTGGCATGCAACGTACCATAGATCTTGCATTTCTAGCGTACATATACGATCAATAGTTGAGCAGCTTGACTTTTTTAAGGACCTTAGGAGAGCACTTTTTCAATATAAAATGTTCATATATGTACACACATGTATTTGTACGTATATATTTATGCTTCATATACTTTCTTTCTTTGCAGTACGTAGATGGTTCAGTTTTTGTGGCTTCAACTTAGGGGTCAAGGAGTTCCTAAATTCTCATAAGAAAAAAAAGAGGAGGTTCTGATTGATGAATGATTATGCTGTTTTCAGTTTATTAATTTTGAGTTATGTCAGTGGTAACCTGTGCCTCTCTTCAAAATCAGGTAGCAAGTATACCCAAAGGGTTTCATGGCAAGTAATGGCCTGCCATCTCTAGGTCGTGTGAAGCTAACTGATCTGGCACCTGCTGAAGGCCTTCCATCAGAATCTTACAAACTATCTGTTTCAACTTTGTCACAATCACTAGCACTCTATTCTGCTGCCATCATTCAGTTTTCCAGTGAGTGATGGGGCGCTCTTTTGAGGTCGGGTTTAGATTCGGCTCGCCTCTACTTCCACCAGAAAGCATCATACCCAGCTGCAGATATGGTTAATAACAATGACCCTCGTGACTGGTCCTCAAGAAGCTATTGTTTACCCTGGACTCGCACTCTATCAGGCAACTGCAGGATATGTTAACCCTGCACTGCAGAGAACGGAGACTGCTAATACAACAGAGCAACTTGTTTTTGGGGCGTTGTTTCTTTGGCTTTTAAATTCATGCCTAAATCCATGACCAAATCTTAGTTGTTCAGAGATGAGAAACTGCTGGTCATGGGGTTTGAAGCTCAGTTCCAGCTTCCAGTAGCGGTTGATGACTTTATGCAGAGATCTCACCCCACCAATCAACTCTTTAACAGACACGGTTTCCAAAGTTCCAATTTCCATGCAGCACAAGATGGTATGCTGCATTTAATCTTCTTTACCAATTGCCTGCTTGTTACATACTGTAAATTGATTTCATGAATGCAATTTTTTTAATGACAGCTTACTTTAATTAGGATTTGGTCTTACTGACTGAATGAAGCACATGCACACACTAAAAATAAGTTTCAATGTATAAGCTAAATTAAGTCCAACTCTATTGATAGTAATCATCAACTACTTAATAGTTTTTGCATTTCTGCTGTCATAACAAGGATCTTCAATCTAGTTTTATCTTCTAAAAATTATATCCGTCTCTTGAGTCCTCTTGATATTGGATTGCACGTGTTTATGTGTATCTCTTATGTGAGAAGCTTTTAACATTAGGTCCTTGGATCGATGAAATGCTGGAACAGGATCTATGAAGCCTTTGTTGAGGAGGAGAAAGGGTGAAAGAACCAAACCTCTGCCACCTTCCAAGAGATTGTGGGTCGAGGTCCAGAGAGTCCTGAATGGAAGGGGTTCAAGACATTGCAGACAAGAAAGGGAATCAAGCTGAGGTTTCTGCAACCTGAAGGAGTGTGAAGAATCACATTCAGACACTTGATAGCCCCTGTGCCAATATAAGAATGGAGATTTGGGTGGCCAAAACGAGGTGCCCATTTGTTTCATTCCCATGATCTCCCCGACAAGGCAAAGATCGGTTTCCTTGAAGCCTATGAACCTGGTTGGACAGCTACTCATGATATGGAGTTAAGTCTAACTGAACCTGGACAGGCTGGCCAGTCAACACTCGGTTAATTGTAATTGTAAGTCCCATTCTAGCGATCAAGTAAAAAAGTTCGTATGGGTAGCCAACCGAGACACACCACTGATTCATCAGGTCTATGCACGGTCACCATCCCTGGAATTCTTGTCCTTGTTGATATTAACAAGACAAGCGTTTGGTCCTCGAACACACCAACATCTGCGTCGAATCCAGCAGCACAGCTTTCGGATAGTGAATGGGAAGAGAAACAAAGGATTTTCTCATCCAGGCCACAGCCTCAACCTGCTAGGACATGTAAGTGCTAGCTGTCAAGTTGATAATTTTTCGTCGAATTATGTTAGAGGGACTATATTCTGACTGCATTAGCTAATGATATACAGTGTGACAGTGACTTCTCTATTAACATCTGGTGACGATAATCTTCCCCTGAATTAACTTTCTTCTGGGTTGGCTGGCTTCTGCAACATTTTCTACCAATAAAGGTCAGTTCTCTCTCTCTCTCTCTCTCTCTCTCTCTCTCTCTCTCTCTCTCTCTCTCTCTATTTCTGTGTTTGTTTTGAGAATTGAGCATTGCCCATGTTCTTGAACCATTTCTATATTTATTAGATGGAAGTAAAGGAAACAAATTGTTCCAGTTTTTTTTTCCACTTTTTGACTTGAGTTAGTTGATGGGTAGCAATAAATGAAGCTAAAAATCTGGATTGCAAATTGTTGCCAATTAGTCTTATGGGCTCTTGTCACTTATGATTTGCTTGTTTGTAAATTGCGGAGAAAAGTAATGCAATTTTTGAAACAAACCCAACATTTTAACAGTTGCATAAATCTTAATGGAGACAGTAATCGTTTGTCGCTGCATCGAGTGTGTTTAAGGATTTTCAATCTTCTGTATGACGAGTGTTTCTGGTTGATGCTGTAACATGTAGTCTTCATTTTGCAGAACTTTAAGCAATTTTATTTGAGAATTGGGCATTTCCTGTGTTGACACAAGACGGGAGTGTGAGGAGCTACAACTGGATTAATAGAGCCCAAGTTTGGGAAGTTTTACTAGGAACACCGGCTGATACATGTGACAACTATGGAATATGTGGGCCAAATGGTGCGTGTAATATTGACAACTCCCCACTATGTGGTTGCTTGGAAGGATTTAGACCAAATTTTCAACAAAAAGGGGCCTTTCGGGGTGCAACATATGCCTGTATGAGAATGACTCCACTGAAAACTGCTCCTGCACAGCTTTTGCAAATTTGGATATCAGGGCAGGAGGAAGTGGCTGCTCAAGAACTTTCAATGGAAATGGGCAAGATATATACATAAGAATAAGATTAGCTGCATCTGAACCAGGTATGGTGGTGTTTATTCTTCTATATAATTCCTTATTAGTTTTCTGCTTTGAAATACTTCATTACCACTTCAAGCAGACAATGCAAAATCCAAAGTGAAGAAAACGAGAATCATAGTAACCAGTACTGTGTTGTCTGCTGGACTTTTAATCCTGGGCCTAGCCCTCCTCTTACGTTTTCAGAAGAAGAAGCACCAACAAGATGGTAAGCTATTTGAGTTTCTACTCTTCTACCCCTCCGTTTTCTAAGTTCAGTTCCATGGTACACAATTTACTTCACTATGTGCTTTGCAGGAAAACCGAGATCGGACCAAAGGGAAGATCTGGAGTTACCATTATTTGACTTGGGCACTGTGATTTGTGCTACCAATGATTTTTCAAACCACAATAAAGTTGGGGAGGGTGGCTTTGGATCTGTCTATAAGGTGAAATCACAGTCTGCACGACAATTAGCTTGACATTTGAGCATGTCACTTTAGGAAGAGTAACAGATACAGTTAGCTAGTAGTATGAATTTTGATCATGATACGTGCTGATGAATTTCAGGGTACACTGATGGATGGACAAGAAATAGCTGTGAAAAGTCTATTGAAACATTCGAGGCAAGGACTCAACCGGTTAAAGAATGAGGTTACACATATTGCCAAACTTCAGCACTGGAATCTAGTGAGGCTTCTAGGATGCTGCATTCAAGAAGATGATGCTGATCTACGAGTTCATGCCTAACAAAAGCTTAGACTTCTTTATTTTCGGTTTGTTTCCCATTTGTAAACTTCCTATGATCCTTTGTCGATTGGCTGTGCAACGGAAGGGAAAGTATTAGACTGTTTTATTTTGATATGATACTATTATGTACTATTTTGCAGATCAAAGAAAAAGCATCTTACTAGATTGGCCTAAGTGTTTTGACATTATTAATGGGATTGCTCGGGGGCTCCTCTATCTTCATCAAGATTCTAGACTGAGAGTAATTCATCGAGATCTCAAAGCCGGCAACATTCTATTCGACGGTGAATTTAACCCCAAAATTTCAGACTTTGGCCTGGCAAGAAGTTTTGGAGGAAATGAAACTACAGCAGCGATAAATAAAGTGGTTGGAAGAACATAGTAAATAATGTAAAAGTACAATCAGACATTCTATATACCTTGCTTGTAAAATGTAGGTTTTGAAACATTGCTTTGCAGTGGTTACATGTCCCCAGAATATGCGATCGATGGGTTCTACTTGATAAAATCTGACATGTATAGCTTTGGTGTTATGGTGCTTGAGATAGTGAAGGGAAAAGAAACAGAGGATTTTCTCATCCAAACCACAGCCTTAACTTGCATGGACATGTAAGTGTCAGCTGTCAAGTTGATCATTTTTCGTCGAATAATACTAGAGGGACTATATTCTGACTGCATCAGCTAATGAAGTACTACTGTGACAGTGACTTCTCTATTAACAACTGGTGACGACAATTCATGTAAAAAATGGATTCGATTCCACTTAAGATCTAAAATGTGGTTTGTCTAGCATTATTATTTGTTTTTACTTGATTCTCTATACTTCTATTTATTCAGTACGATTGGTGGTTGTGATCTTTTAGGCATGGAATTTATACACAGAAGGCAAGTCCATTGAAATGCTCGATACATGAGTAGGAGACTCCAGTAATCCACATGAAGTTTTGCGGTCGATCCATGTGGGTCTTTTATGCGTGCAGTGAAATCCGGCAGATAGGCCAAGCATGCCAGCTGCAGTTCTGATGTTGAGTGGTGAAAGTGCATTGCCTGAACCGGAAAAACCTGGTTTTTACAGTGAAAGGGATTTAGATGACAACAAAGTCGATCCTTGTGCAAACAAGGTTACAGTTTTTTCAGCTAATGAAGATACATTTACCCTACTCGAGGCTCGATAGTTCATATTTCATGTTGCTGTTTATTTCGTCATAACTTGATCTGATGTCTATTGGAGTGAGTTAAGTTGATCAGATATTTCTCGAGTAATCCTGCTTATACATTTTCTTGCCTTACATATGCTTTGCTCTGATATCAGCGGTGACTCGATTGGAGAGGAATTCAATCTGATTAGATAATACATTTGAATTACTGTGATTTGGATTCAACAGATTGTTCACTGTATTTTCTAATGTTTACTGCAGTATGGGATGAAGTAATGATTTTTTTTTTCGGCACAACTTAATTAAACAGAGTCCAAAAAAACACCAACATGAAAGGTAATAAGGCAAACGACAAAGCAAACAAAGGTGCAAAACACAACCAAAATCAGCAACCAAGAATCAGGGATATTACGAGAATGCAAAACTTCGCCGTTACCTGGAAAAACATGAACTTTGACTAAGAAAATCCGCAGGGAATGACAGCGGCATAAAAAATAGAAGTCAGTTGTCCTGGAATCATTCTGAACAAGCCCTGCCAAAATTATATTATATTATTCCTATAGAGTAAATTGTAACTATCTTCCTTTAATTTTAACTCAATTAGAGCAATGGTTCATCAATTAAAATTTATTATCATTGGTCCCTCAACTCATCAAAACGTGCAGCTATGATCAACAATGGTCATTCCAACATAACTCGTTTTGACAAAATTTTTGACGTAGTTGACGAAAATGATCATAACTACACACTTTGATGAGTTGAGGGATCCTAATTATATAAATAGTTATTCCAACATAACTTATTTTAACAAAATTGATGAAAATGACTATAATTATCCATTTTAATAAATTGAGAGAGCAATGATAATAAATTTTTAGTTAAAGAATCATTGGTACAATTTATTAAAGGTGAGGGAGCTTTCTTCTAGCTTTTTCTCTGTTGTTCTCGCCGCTTTCACGCATTTTGGCCCTCCTTTTGTTTGTCTCTGAAACCTTAATTTTTCTTTTTCTCTGTTGTTCTCGCCGCTTTCACGCATGTTGGCCCTCCTTTTGTTTTATCTGAAACCCTAATTTTTTTTTCCCTTCCCCATTTTTCTTATCTCACTGTTTCTCAAGTCGCTGATTCCGCCCTTCTCTTCTCTCGCTCTCAAGCGTTCAGCATCTCACGCTCTCAAGCGTTCAGCGTCTCTCGCTCTCAAACCTCGCCGATCCGTCGAAACCCATATTCCTCAGCGTTTCCTCAAAATCCAAGGTACGGGCTTCACCCAACCGTGAATTTTTTGAATCGTTTTTTATTTTTTATTTTTTATTTTTTATTTTTTGAGTTTTGGATTCATAATTTTCTGTTCGGTAGCTGAGAAAATGTGATCCCGTGGTTTAGTTTTGGTGTTTTTGTGATTTTGGGTTAGTAGGTTTTTCGAATTTTGGGGTGTTTGTTTGTAGGCTCCAAAACCCTCTGTTCTCAAGGTAAATAATTTAAAATTCTGGGGTTATTCAATTTATAGTTTAGTTTAGGTTTTTTTTTAATAATCGGAGTTGAGTTTGGTATTTTGTTTGTGTTTGATTATGTTGAATTCGGATTTCAGTGCACTTATGTTTGGGTTTTATATTTTCCTGCAGGTCGTGATTGAGGGAGCTTGAAATGGCAATTGGAATTAAGGTCATAATACATAGTAAGTGTTTGGTTTTTTCTTCTGCTACAAAGTAGAAGTTGAGAAGTCCCGTTTTTATGTTTACTCATCTTTCAAGATAGTTTACGGAATATATGATGTTTTTTTCTTTAAATTTCTATTGCAAGGTGGCGATTTCAATGCCACCACAAGATATGGCTTTTGAGCCAATATACTGGTATTGACAACCAGAAGCTAATGGAGTGGGCAGCCAAGATATGGTTTTCCTGCATTTGTATATGTTTGTGGATCCAGCCTTTGACTGAAAAACATCATAAGATAAAGAAGTCCCCATATTTTTATGTTTACTTTTCAAGATAGTATTACGGAATGTATGTTTTTTTATTTTTAATTATTTTTAATTTTATTTCTGCTACAAAGTGGCAATTTCAATGTCACCACAACATATGGCTTTTGAGCCAATATACTGGTATTGCCAATAGAAGCTAATGGAGTGGGCAACCAAGAAATACAGCAATTTTAGTCTTAGTCTTACTTGTTTCATTGGTGTATTTGTACCCTTTTTTGTATTGTGAATCAGGCAAAATTGAACCGCCACCTCATGTGCCGCAGCTGCATCAAAGGCTGGTTCTCCAACGACGTTGTTTTCTAGAGCTCTCTCTACGCAAGGTATGCAATTTAGAGTTTTGGCCCCGAAAAGGTAGCATTTACCGCTGAGTTCTTCAGCTGATTTGGGGTGGGTATTTTTGTGGTTTAAATATTATGTGTGTAGAAGTGTAAATTTTCCTTTCTAAATGAGCTTTCTGTTGAAATTTCATTTTTGTGATTTTGGGGATTTATGTTGAAATTATTGAAAAGGATACAATTCTTAAAAGAATTCAGTTTACTTCATACTCCTTTTCAAATTCAAAAGGATAAATCAAAGGCAATAGATTTGTATATTAGGTACATTGATTATGTTCGTTTCTTTTTTCCAGAAACGTCAATATCTATCATCTGGTCCTCTGAAGGGGGAGTGCCTATCAATTTCAAAAACTAGAAAGCAACTCATATAAAAGTCATAATAGCTGCTTTCTTACTTCCAAGGTTCGTGCATATTTCTCCATTTTTTCATCGGTTACTTTTTTTAGTTACATTTTCTTTTATGTTCAAAATTATTGTGTTTCAGTGCTGTCTTTGTATATCAACTTCGAAATTCAAACACAAATGGACAATATTAATAGAACCCTATTTTCATCTAAGAAAATAAAGAAATGAACTGTGAAATTTACTCTAAGAAGAGCTGATCTTGCGTGTGGAAGGGGAATGATAGCGAAAATGTCAATAAGAATATTAGATGACTCCCAAATCATCTTAGCTATCTGTTGGAAAAAGCATTTCTCTATGAATCTTATAGTGCAAGTTCTTTAATAACGAAGTTGATTCATTAAACCTGACAAGTTCGCAAGACTGAAAATTTGATAAGCAATGTCCATTATGTAAAAAAATAAATGTGACAGATCGTAAAATGAGGGCTGTTATTTTCAAGTTCTGTCCATCAGTAGGCAATTCATATCATTGTTTATGACAGTGTAGAGAAACAGTGGAATCAACTTGACATTTTCCAACGAGACTCCAATTTTCTTGACGGATTTCATGCTCGATTTCAATCTATTATCTACTTGGATCCATTTTTTTCCAAGCCTAATTAGTTCTTGGAAGTGGTCTTTCATGTTTAATAACTATTTTTACACTTCGGAATTCTCCATGTTCTACCTGGTAGTCTTGAAAATTTTAAATTATAAATGCAGGTTTGTGTTCGTTTGCCCAGATGCTATTTCGAAGCTGGAGTAGGCATTGTTGATGAATCCTAGGAAAGATGATGCTCTGTGGTGTTTTGGAAATGCTCAAACTGCTGCGGATTATGTACTCCGGACCAGAATGAGGCAAGAGTTTATTCCCAAAAGGTGTCTGATGAGGTACTTTCACTGAAAAATCTCAAAGAAATTGTATTGTTTTTCAACTTTCGATGTGGAATAAGTATTATATGTTCTTTTTGCAGGAGTCGGGTGATTTTGAATCTGTATATTATGCTTACCGTCGAAATTTGAGTGGTTGCTCAGTTTGAATTTACTATCAGCTTAAGCTCAATATTCACTCGCTTAAGTGTGGGTAACCTTTTAATCTCAGTATATCATAGTTTTTCTTATCTGAATATCTGATAATTGTTTTCCTTTGGCTACTTGATTGTGGATCTCAATATTGTTTGATCATTAGAGTAATGCCTTTGGGTGGTTTGTGCTATTTACCGGGAATCTTAATATCATGTTGTTGATGCTAATTAAGAACTGAATTGATCTTTATGATATGTTTGAATTTCTTGATGGATTGATTGAACTTGAAAGTATATGCTTTGATATAATTGGAGGAAATAAATGAAAAGGAGGGAAGTGAGATTGATTACATAATCTGTAAGTTGGGTTTAGTGACATATAAAATTGCAATTTCAATGATTTGAACTACTTTCTGGGTTGGAACGAGTTTCTAAATTACTTGCAGATTACTATTTTTTAAATTAACTATAAATTTGTTGAGAAACTCTGCACACAATCTAATTTATAACTACATTACTGTTATAATATACCATTATATCCACAATCACATTGATTGATGTTTTTGCAGGAATGGCTCTTGAACTGAAAACAAGAGAATTCGAGTCCATCAGTAGCGAACTTCTGACACTTGCATGACTTTTTGAACAGAAAATGAGAAGGTTTACTATTTTAGTTTCTACGTGTGCATTTGTTTGGTAGATATTGATTGAATTTTATTACTGTTCACAAAAAAACTAGGGTCAGCAACTTGCTTTCATTCTGCTTGCGTTGGTGTTTGTAATTCTTAGTTCTCGACTCAAGTATTGCTTATGAAAAAAAATGAAATTGCATAATCTTTCATACAATTTGCTTTCATTCCGCTATACATACTCACGTGCAATGCTAATTGAACTCTTGCTATGCCGCAGAGAGAATTCAGCGTGTAGAATTTGGCTCTCTTCAAATGTCAGATCCCCATGGCTACCCTGTATATTTGCGGGCAACAGTTATTAACATCTAATGCTTGAAATTTAAGTAAGCACGCAACTGCTTTGTACGATTACTAATCCTATTGCGAAAAACAGAACGTCACAAAATACAGTGAAATTGAGTTGCAAATTGTCTAGTGCCTGATACAAACTTTGACATGAATGTTGCTGTAGTCTTGACCCATAGTAGAAAGAATCCAGCAACTTCAGGACCAACACAGGATTGTAGAAAAACGAGGCAAGAAAAGAGGGTTGAGAACTGATTCAGGCTTCACATTATGCAATGCAAAATGGAAGTTCAATTGCACACCAAAACAATATCAATAGCCGGCAATAAATGTAGGGTTTATGATTGTCCTGTAATTTATTGTCAATGCCTTTTCCACTATAAAAATCCAATCAATGAAGATGATTAAACAGTCGTGAATGTAAATTTCTAAATAAAAAAGAAAACGATAAAAACAGTGGATGGATTATTCAGTACAGAAAGAATAGCAGTATAGTCGTTACCCGGCGAGATGTTCTATCACAAACTGCATGGTGCATGAGAAGGCCTGCAGCAACTGAAACATTGAGAAAGAGTCGACCATGCCTTTCATTGGATTACTGCAATGCAAATCTGACAAAGCCAGGGCCTCATCACTTATTCCCCTAAATTAGACACTGCATTCAAATTAATATCGAAGAAGAACATATCTAAGATGTAATTTTCTTCATGTTACTAACTTTTTCTCGGTTGAATTTCTAAATTCTTCATCAGGTGCAAGTGTATCAGAAAATTTGATATTGGTCACAGAGACACACAAGTATATCAGTTTAAAATTGAACAAAGAACCAGCGTGGATGATATCGAAAAATGTAATGATCACTAAATAGGGAAAACGTATAATACCTATTTTCATTTCCGACTACAATCGCAGTTGGGCAAGACCAATCCATGTCGTATTTAGAAACTTTAAAATACAAAATGGAGGAATAACTCAGATACATGCTTGAGAGTAAAACTGTGGAACATCACTACTACAAAACCATTTAATAATGTCGCAATTCTAATTGACAAAAAACAGCTCTTTCTGTCGGCTATTACACAAAATCCGACAGAAAATGGGTGCAGCAGCGGTTATACTAACCGACAGAATTGCCAGCGTCAGGAAATTAACTTTCCGATAGAAATTGCATGAAAACCGACATAACTTATGTCGGATATATTCGACAACATGTACTCAACTAATGACGGATTTTATTAATTTGTCGGCAAAAACCGACAATAATTAACGGTAACAACCGACAATAATTAATAAATTACTGTCGGATTAACATTTTAAAATATTAAGAAAAACAACTTTCCGTCGGTCACAACCGACAGAAAAATATTAATAAATAAATTGTTACGGTCTCAGGCTTTTTTTTTTAATTTCTAATTGTATAAATTTTTTTTTTTAAATTTCTAATTGTATAAAAAATTAAATACAATAAAAGAATAAAACAAAACGAAATATGCATTCAAATATAACGTTCGATAATGTCATTTAAATCCGCCATAACAAATAAAGTTGACATCAAATATAAAATAACCCAAAATACGATCATCTGCATCCGCCATATTACATAACTACACAAAAAACATTCGCCAAAGTAGACAAAAGTGTCAGACATAACCGTAAGGAAAACCAACAAACTATTCAACAGATCCCGAGCCTTCCACCGATCCGCCCTGCGCTCCAGAGCCTTCTGCCGATCCTCCCTGTGAACCAACACCTTCTGCCGATCCTCCCTGTGAACCAACGCCTTCTGCCAACCCTCCATGTGCTTCCAAATACCTCATCACATCCCCATCAAAACTTCCCATCACCAACCCAGATAAGAAACCCGATGATAATCCACCATTGAAACCACCTTGAGAAAAATGTGCGTCACCGGGAGAAGCCATCTTCGGTCGATATACTGGCATTGGATACTGGGGCTGGAAAGGCATATGGTGCATGGAATATACAGGCGCTGGTGGCTGCAATGGGGCTGAATGCTGTGATGCCTGAGGGCTGGGTGGTGGCCGAATGCTTTGAAGCCACAACATTATTTGATGTTGATTCATCAACATCTGCTGATTCATCGCCTGCTGCTGTGAGGTCTTTGATTTCTCTAGCTCAACCATTACCTCTGCCAACTTTCTGGAGGCTTCTTCCTCCCTCCTCCTCAACTCGTTGTTCTCAGCAACCACCTTGGCAAATGAACCTTTGGATGAACTCCTGGATGACCTGGAACCTGAAGAGCTTGCATATGACACCATTTCTGGTATCACCCCATGGCCATAGCCTCGTACCCTATTTCTTGTCTCAGACCCCATCTGCTCAACATAAATCTGTGTTCGTACGTCCGACGTGTCCTCTTGCCCAGACTCAACAACAAACTGAACTTGACTCTCCATAGATGACTTTCAAAACAATATTTAAACAAAACAATAAAAACATTATTATAGAAAAATAATGTGATAAACAGATCCAGCAACAGACTGAACTTGATTCATAAAAACAGCTTCATCAAACCAAACAGAAAGATACACAAGTTTTACATTAAAAATAGATTCCACGTTTAATTTATATGTTCTAACAAATCCAATGACATTTTTAAAATAATGTGATAAACAGATCCAGCATTCCAAATAGAAAGGAAAATATGAATTAAATACAAAGTCATAATTCAAATAGAGTTCAAAATCATTTACCCCTCTCTGTTGGGAGGATTCATCAATCCATGAGTCGTCTTTCCTGGTATGAGTTGCTCGAAAAAAAGATATGGGATCCGGCTCCTTCCCATGCTTTCTCTTCTTTAAATCGTGAAAAGAGAACAACAAAATCCATATTAAACCCAGTTTATATACAAAAATTAAAAACACAACTTATATTAAAAATTAGCAACACTTACAAGTTCCTCACGAACCCGAGCAAATGTTTTGGAACCAGTCGTATGGTTCATCGTTTTTGACTCCCGATTAAACTTGTTTTTCTCTGCCACCTCCTGAAAGTTAAAAAAAAAAAACATTATAATACAAACATTTCTACACCAAAAATCAAACCACAATTTTTAACCTTTGTTTTTGGATTATCCCAATACGCTAACATCTTAGCCCACTGACCACCATCCACACCAGGGGGAGGTTCCAAGCGCTCTTCCTCTTGTCTTTGGTGTAATACTCTGCTTTTAAGTTGTTACGATACTCCTTGTAAGCATGATCCGCAACATGGAGGGTCATATTGCGAATCAATGGAATTCTATCCAAGTCTTCATCTAGAAAAATGATATATCCCTACAATAATAAAAACAACCATGTTACAACAAATCCGAAATAAGTCTTGGTTGAACTATAGAAATACAAACGAAAACATATACCTTAATTCTTTCCCACAAACCATCCTTAACATCTTCAGGTACCAATCTCCAATCCTTCTTCAATGGAATAAGTCTTGGATCCTTAACCTCTGAAGCTACCAATTTCGAAAACTCAGAGGCATTTTCACTAACACATTTCTCTTTCGAATCAAATAGACAAAGCTGTTTCTCTTTCCACTTTGGAATAGCAGCTCCACGGGTCCTACGTCCACTTTGTTCCTCCATGTTAAAGGGAAGAAGAGTAAAAATGGGTAGCAGTAAAAATGGGATGGAGAAGAGGAACTGTGTAGAAATGGGATGGAGAAGAGGAAGAGAGTAGAAATGGGAACAAAGTAAAAATGGTGAAGTTCAACCAGGAAGTCAGCTAAAGTAAAAATGAGAAATAAATGAGGTAAACAAATGTTGGCGGTTATATCCGCCAGTAAGTATAAATCCGACAGAATTTTCAAACATTGTGGCGGTTATATTCGCCAGGAAAAGAAAATCCGACAGTGTCTGACATTAATATGTCAGACGGTGCATTTATGAACATCAGTTGGCAGATATATGAATGTCAGAGGATGCATTTATGAAGGTCAGACTAGTGTCGGGTATATCCGACAATATTACTATTTTGTGTCGGTTTTATCTGACACAAATATTTCCTCTGTATTTTGTTTTTGCGCCTTTAATATTTTTGAGTAACGGCGTGGGAAAAATCCCGCCCAATTTTTTTTTCCTTTTACTGTCGGTTATATCCGATAGGGATGTGAATAATAAAAAAAAAAAATGAAACCATGTGTTTATACGAAAATAACATTTTAAATTTTACCACATAAACTAAAATATTTTAAATAAAAATCACCACACAAATTAAAATATAGTCTAATTATTACTTAAAAAGCATAAAGTAAATTATAAAACTATTCCATTTCATCTTCTGTTAGATCATCGACGACATTGACAAAATCAGGGAACTGGGTAGGCAACGGTAATACTTCGTGAAAAGGAGTCTCTTCCACGCCAACCCTTGTATGCAAATTTTCATTGTCAAGTAAACGATCATCCAAATCAGGTATGGCATAATCATCAAGTGCATCATTATCCTCCAATACGTCAAATAAATCTCTCGGCTGCGTTCAAAGAACAACATGCCAATCTTTTTCAATTGTGTCCTCCACGTAAAATGCTTGTAATGCTTGTAATCCTTTCACTATTAACCCATTCACACTTAAACAACATCACAGCTCGACCTCTATCTCCAACTTCGGTAGGGCCACAATATCTAACCTTAAACATGTCTATGACTCTGCCATAACAATTCACTTGCCCAATTGCACCAGGGACATTTGCAGGTACAAAGACACCACAATTTTGATTCTTATGTTTATCGTCCACAGATTTTGTACGAAATCTAAACCCATGAATAATGTGACTTTTATATTTCGTCACAACCCTAGGATAATTGGCTAGCCAACGCAAGTCTTCAGATATCAAGTTGTCATTAGCATGACATCTTGAATTAATCTGTAATAAGTAAAAACATAAAAGTTGACACAACAAATGTAAACACATCATAATTAAAATATAAAAAAAGAGTAAAAATGTGACTGTTATATTAACTCACATGTTGCCTGAACCATTCTGGAAATTCCTTCTTGCTTAGTTTTTTGATTTGTCGAATTGTTAGCCTTGCTCGACGATGTTGATTTTTCAAGAATTCCTCATGTTGCCTAGCCAATCAAGTCCAAATATGCTTAACTAATTTTTCAAAATAAAGAAAATTGATAAACCATTAAGACGTATGACTAGATGTTCTTACCTTCTAAATGGGCTGACCTCATCACAATTATTTAGAATGTATATGTGGCATTGATCAAGAACATTTAACTCAAGCTCCACATTTTCTCCTGAACCCATATAACATCCTTTAGAGGAAAATATTGATAACCCACCAGATACTCCACGTCCAATACCATCTTCATTTCGACCTCTACGAGTGCGACGAGACTCGACATCTCTAAGATACAAGGAACAAAAGGACAAGCACTCATCCACCAAATATGCTTCAGCAATAGAACTTTCAGGATGACCCTTATTATGAACATAATGCTTCAGTGTTTGCAAAAACCTATAATTATAATACAAAACACAAATTATTATAATTACTAATAAAAATTATCATTAGAAATTAACATATTTTATAAAGATTTGTTAATTACCGTTCAATTGGATACATCCATCTATATTGAATAGGCCCTGCAATAGCGGCTTCATCTGCCAAGTGAACTGGGAGGTGCATCATTACATCAAAAAATGCAGGCGGGAATATCTTCTCCAATTGACATAATGTCAAGGCAATTCTTGAATTCAATTGCTTGAAACCTTCCTTGGACTCCTTCTTGCTACACAATTGTCTGAAAATTGCACTCAACTCTAATAATATCATAGTAACTGATTTAGGCAAAACCGCACGTATTGCAAGCGGGAGTAACTGCTGCATTAAAACATGACAATCATGGCTTTTCAATCCATGTATTTTTCGTTCATTCACATGCACACATCGTGACAAATTTGATGAATAACCATCGGGAACCCGAATAGTAGCCAACACTTCACAAAATGCAGTTTTTTCTTCTCTTTTCAACGTGAACAATGCTGGAGGTCGAAATGTTCTATTTCCTTCCCTACGTGGATGTTGTCCATGTCTTATGTTCAAGATTTCAAGATCTGCACGTGCAGCCAATCCATCCTTAGACTTTTTATCCATATCTAACAATGTTCCCACTACATTGTCACATATATTTTTTTCAATATGCATAACATCAAGATTGTGTCTAATCAACAAATGTCTCCAATAAGGTAGTTCATAAAAAATAGATTTCTTCTTCCACTGACTCTTACTACTTGTGCTGCTCTCAGTTCGTTTTCTACGTTGCCCAACCGAAGTATCTTTCTTTGGTTTTCCAAAAATAAATCTCAAAGTACAAAGTTCTTCAAGACATTGTAAACCAGTCCACTGCCTTGGTGCATTACGATGCTCTCGTCGACCATCAAAAGATGTGGTTTGCCTTCGAAACCTATGATCAGCAGGAAGAAAGCGTCGATGCCCTAAATAGCAAATCTTACGACTCGCCGGCAAATAAATAGATTCTTTATCATGCATGCAATGTGGACATGCTTTATATCCATGTGTACTCCATCCTGATAACATTCCATAAGCCGGAAAATCACTTATAGTCCATAAGACGGCAGTCTTCATAGGAAAATTTTGGTTGAAATACGCATCATAAGTAGGAGTGCCCACCTCCCACAACTCATTCAACTCATCAATCAATGGACGCATGTACACATCAATCTCTTTACCGGGGCTGCGTGGTCCTGGTATTAACAGAGACAACAACAAATTTGGTTGTTTCATACACATCCAGAGTGGTAAATTGTAAACTGAAAGCACCACAGGCCATGTGCTATGGTCTTGCCTCATTTTTCCAAAAAGATTAAATCCATCACTGGCCAACCCCAATCGAACATTTCGAATTTCTGATCCAAACTCCGGATATAAATTATCCAAATGCTTCCATGTTGGAGAATCTGAAGGATGTCTCATAAACCCATCCTTAGGACATTCAGTTGTGTGCCACCTCATATGCTCAGCCGTATGCTTCGACATATACAACCGCTGCAATCGTGGTTTTAAAGGAAAATACCACATAACCTTAGCTGCGATTTTTTTCTAGAGCCATTCTCTTCATTGACATTTTTATATCTTGATTCACCACAAACTGAGCATGCGGTCAACTCTGCAGTTTCTTTCCAATAAATCATGCAATTATTAGGACACGCATCAATCTTCACATACGTCAGACCCAAGTCATTTATAAGTTTTTTTGCCTTATAACAAGATTCAGGCAAACAATCTCCATCAGGCAACATTTTTTTAATTAACTCGAGTAACTTGGTGAAGATCCCATCCGACATTCTTGCTATACACTTAATCTGATACAATCTTACAATTGCCTCCAATTTTTTAAATTCTTTACAACCTGGCCACAAATCTTGATATGCCTCTTCAAGCAACTTAAAAGTCTCGACCTCTTTCGGACGCTCTTCCCCAGAAAGGGGCTCAGTAGACGGCCCAATACCTTCTTCCGTTAATGGTTGGACAAATACCTCATTAAGAACATCATGAATACCAGTCAACCGATCTTCTGTTTCAATAGATGGCCCAACACCTTCTTCTCCAATCCCCATATTTTGCTCTCCCATGAAAGATTCCCCATGATGTCGCCACGAAGCATTTTTGTAATCTTTATCCATATCATACAACACAAGATGTTCGACAATAGTTTTTCTAACAAAAGTATATTGATTACAACATCTTTTGCAAGGACATCTAAACTTATCGGGGCCAACACCATTTGCAACTGCTTGATCCAAAAACAAATTAATTCCATCTGTATACGTTTCCAAATTTCGTGATACTGTCAACCAACTCTTTTTCATGTTTTACCACTGTACAAGAGCAAATATTACGTTGAAACTAAGATGCCTACAATCTTTCAATCCCTATCATGTAGGCATAACTATTAGAAATTTCAATCACTATCTTTCAACCTCGAACTATCACAATTGCAATTTAATTTCCAACACCTATCACAGTAAAACAAATTAAAAAACAATAAAAGGTTAACAAAAATATGTTTATCTACACTCTTCATTATTTATTAAATTTAAGTTTTGTATATCCTCATAGCAATTACAGTGAAATATTTAATTAGTTAACATAATATATACCTATATTACTAAATATTACCAATTTATTTTATATTAAATATTATCAATTTAACATAAATATTTACAAATAATATTTATCTCAGTTTCTTTATAACAATTTAAGTAAATCAAATAAAGTAACGGAACACAAATATTCCTAATTTATTTTACTAATTAAATTAAAATCTCTGAATAAATAATCAAATAAAGTAATGGAACACAAATATTCCTAATATATTTTACTAGTTAAACAAACAATTTAAACATTAAGAAATTCAGTAATAAAACCTGAATTATTGAAGAATTATGTCGTCGATCTACTCTTTATGTAGTCAACCACCTAAATAAAGCCCTTGCAAAATCAAATCATAAAATAAAAATAACCCATGAAGTGCTTGATGAAGAAACAAATAGAAGATAAAAGTATGGAAGCAAAAGAAAATGCAAAACTTACTACGAGATGAAGAGAAAAATAAGATGCAGTGTTTGATGAAGAAATAAATAAAAAGTATGAAAGCAAAAGAAATGAAAAACTTACTGTGAGATGAAGAGAACAAAAAGATTGTTGATGAAGAGCAGAAAATAATTGAAGATTGTAGAATGAAGATGAAGATTGTGGGTTGAAGTAAAGAGAACAAAAAGATTGTTGATGAAGAGTAGAAAATGATTGAAGATTGTAGAATGAAGATGAAGAAGAGAATGAAATCTGAAACTGGAAAACATTTGTCATAAAAATAATAAACTATTAAATTTCTGTCGGTTAAAACCGACAGAAAACTCAAATAATAACGGCTAGAATACTAAAATGATAAAGTAATAAATTTCTGTCGGTTCAAACCGACACCGTGCACTTCAAAACCGCCAAAATATAAAAAAAATATTTTCAAAAAAAATTCAAAATTCCTGGCGGTTATAAAACATTTGTGTCGTTTTTACCCGACAGTAAATATCCGACAGTAATTACTGTCGGTTATAAGCGACAGAAAGTTTCCTTTATCCGACACTAAATAAATTATGTGTCGGACATCTGTTATCTGATAGTATGACTCGTTAACCGCCACCACTGTCCGACACTTAAAGCTAATATTTTTCAAAACAAACAAAATACACAGCAGAAGAAAGTGGATAATTACCGCGTCCGTTATGCGTTGTGGCAATTCGATGCCCTCGCGATTTCAGAACTTCAAAGCACTCAGCAGTAGAGTTCCAAATTTCAATGTCCAACCATTTCTCCGCTCCCATACTGACATGGCGATTGTTTCTATATATGAAACAAGATCAAGCTGAGGTTAACAAAGTTAATTCGACAACAAAGAACCGGACAACTAAGCTCCTCCACGGTTTCCTTAGTCGGGTTCTCCGGCGGTTCTAGGGTTAGAAATGTGTGTATGAGTGTCGATCGAGAGAGAGAGTATCTTGGTTGGAAGGAAGCGGAGAGAAGGCGCTCATAGTTCCGTCCCGTCCCAAGCTAACATTATACCAAACAACAAACGGAACATGGGTAAGTTATTTTAATCTTTTGGTTTCGTTCCGTCCTGCGCTTACCAAACGCAGAACGGAACAACTCTCCTGTTCTGTCCTGCGCCTACCAAACATAACATGGAACCACTATTCCATCACGTTCCATTCCGTCCCGTCCGCATACCAAACGGTACCTTTAGTCCCAACTGGTGAGACCTTTAGACCATAGTATGAGGTAGAACTAAAAGTTACAAACTACTCTTCTTTACTCGAGCTGGAGGCAAAAAATTCAACCTGGACTAAAAACATGGGTCTGATGTCTACAACTTCGCAAAAGAAATCAACGGCTGAACTACGATTTCTCCCTTTTAAATCCTTTGACAGTCTCCTCCTAATTTATACTGTCACTTTGTGACTAGAAAATATCAAATGATTGGTATAATCTTCATAATTTTGGGAAAACATCGTCATTATAGTTTTCTAAAAGTCTTCCATTCTTCGAGTCTACTGTTAGTACTGATTTAGTACTGAGGTGCTTTTATAAAAAGTAGGTATTAAAAAAAGCTAACCTAAAAAAGATGTTTGGTAAATACTTAAAAACAGCTTATTTTCATAATTTTGAATGGAAAAAAAATGAAAACGTGAAGCAGCAAAAATGAGTTTATTCTCACAGCATAACAAAAACAGTTTTTTTTCAAAACACAGTAATACCAAACCAGCCCTTAGTCAACTATGAAAGTGAGGAGACCCATTTATGGATTTGCTATTCTTAGCGATATAACTACATATATGTTGGAGTTACAACCTCAATCCTATCGATTATACGAAAACCAAAATAGAATTACGTCACACAAGAACTACTAAACGTCTCATTATAAACCAGTTATAACTGAAGCCTCCTAATTGGATAGTGCTTTTCCCATGTTAGGCTTCTCTGACTGAGGTGATGCAGATACCAAATTGGAGCGGTGCTGTTAGTGGAGGAATCTGGTAGAAACGATGAGTTTGTAGATTGAATTTGTGCATGATGATAATGAAACATAATATGTTGTTTTCGTAGTTCTTTTTGCTTTCAAAGTTTATTGCTCTGTTGTGTTCGTAAACTCTGGGTTCTTACGGTTCTTTGTCTCTCTTACTTCAGATTCTTTACGTTTTATCATTCATTTGTGAAGAAATGGGTCGTATGAAATGGTAAGGCTTTGAGGAAGGCACTCGCCACCAAGGTGAGTTTCGTTTGGGTTTCTAATGTCTAGAAAATTAGAATTGATAATTGCAAGCGATTTTTTTCCGAGAAACAATCAGATTATTAAATTTAAGTTGCTAATTGTTTTAATTTTGTATATGCTGCAATTAAATCAGCACCCATAACTGGAGGAGTCAAGAAGCCTGACTGCTACCACCCTGGAATCGTCACTCTTCGGTAAATTTTCAACACAATATAGTTCAAATCCTCTAAATCACGTTCTTGAATTTTACCATATGTATCGTGTTCTTTGCATTTCGTTATCTAAATTCTGTTTTTTGAATTTGGTTACCGGAATCTTGCCTAATGTTTGATGAGGCCAGTGGCTTTGTATGGCTGGCTGGTATGATTTGGGAGTGTTTTTAGTTAATGGCAGACATAGGACAAAGGTTTGGGGCAGGCGCAACGAAGTCAAGTGGGATCAGGAATTTAGGATAGTAGAGTTTTTGCTAATTTATGGGATTAGAAGTCTTTCTTTATTTTATGTCTTGGTGCGATGAAAGATAGGGTAAATTACACTTTACCATCTCAGATTTGAAATCTATTACAACCTCATACAACATCTTCAAAAAATTTCACTTTTATATCTTACGTATTATTTTATTTCAATAAAATATATCTGTTACATTTTCCAATCTGTTAAGAGTTGACATGCCAATCATATTTGTGACATGTGGGCTGTGGCTGCAAAATTTGTGCCACTTAGCAAAAAAAAAAAATTTTATGATTAAAAATATTATAATATTTATACTATTAAAAAAAAATTAAACTGAAACCCAGAAACCCAACCCCACCCTCACCTCCCTGCAACCCGCAACCCCCACCCCCACCGGAAATTGACCCCAAAACCCAGCCCATTTGAGCTACTCCACATCGTCTCTTATCTTCTCTGTCTCTGGCTTTTCAATTCCAGAAAATCCATTCCAGAAATCAGAGGGCAATGGAATCAAAAACAAAAACCCAAAAAAGTGCAAGAAACCCAGAGCAAAGAATGGGGAAATTCGGTCGGGAATACGTAGCCCGAGAGGCCAAGGCAGTCGCAACAACCACCAAAATCCTCTTCTTCTCCCGCTTCTTATTCCCTCTCGACCCACCTGGCGATGCCGCGATGGTGGAGGTCAGAGAATCCCACATCCCTCTCCAAACTCTCGTCAAAGATCTCGAGAAAATCATCCAAACCCTCGCGCTGGGGAGGTCTAGGGAACAGATGACGGGGTAGGAGGAGGAGGCGTTGTGACTCCAAGCCAATTTTAGGGGTGGAGTCGGCGCCGTTCTAGGATGAGAGGGAGGTCGGGGTAACGGTTTCTAGGTTTTTGGCTTTTTTTTTTAATTTTTTAATTTTTAATAGGGTCAATATTATAATATTTTTTAATCATAAATTTTAATTTTTTTTTTTTTGTGATTTGGCACAAATATGGTAACTACGCCAGCTCTTAACGGATTAATGAATGAAAAATATAACAGATGTATTATATTGAAATAAAATAGTACATGAAGGATGTGAGGGATAAAAGTAAAGATATTGTATGATATTGCAATAGATCTCAAACTTGAGATGGTAAAATGTAATTTACCCATTAAATAGGTGAGTAATTTTAACTCTAGTTTAAGGTAATAACATGTGAATTTTTCGTATTACTGTTTTTTCCCTTTCTATTAAAAACAACCCTTGATTTATTTGGTAGTGCATTTCTCTATCTGTGCTATTGTAATTGTTCTCAGGTATACTGGAACTAAATTTTTCATGATGCTCTTTCCTTTTCTTCTCAGTGAAAACACATACTAAAGCAACAACGCTATGGTGGCGGGAATAAGCGTTCTCACATATGTATGGATGTGTGATATGAATCAGGTGTGTATGTACACCTTTATACATGCATCTGTGGAAATACATACGATTGAGCCTGGTTTTTGTTTTAAGTTTGTATACTGGTTGTCAGGTTCTAGATGTTTGCTTACCTAGCAGTGGTTATTCTGATTTAGTGGTTAAAAATGAAAATTTCACTCACAATACGGGATTAATTGAGGTTCATACATGCATTGAAGTTACTCCCCACAAAGTAAGAAAGTTGCAACATTGAATGATAGACATGCAAAGAAAGAAGGGAAGTGGGGGAGTCCGACATGGGGTTTGGGAACTTTAATCTGGATATGGAAAGTGATGTATACTTGTGATGAAGAAAAAGAAAATAAATAAAAGTAGGGGTGTGCTATCCACACACCCCAAATTACTTCCCACACACCCCTTGTTAATTTCTGTCCGTTGATCTTCTTCAATTCATCCGATCCGACGGCCGAAAATTAAAAGGGTGTGTGAGAAGTAAAATGGGGTGTGTGGATATCACACCCCTAAAAGTAATGCTCTCTGATATAAATCTGGTCGATCGCTCAGAGATGCGCATTTCCCAATGCATGCATGCATGTCTCTCTCTCTCTCCCTCCCTGTGGCTGTGGGTCGATCTGTGTGTTTCGGTGATGGGTGGGTGTTTGCCTGCAGGCGTAACAAGTGCATTTCAATACCACTCATACTTTAGGACAGGTCCATTTCACATTTAATTTAATTTGTTAATGCGTATTAATAATATGATCGATTCAGAATTCAATCGAGAGGCTTGAGAGAGATACTTGTCCCGATGGAGACTACCTCACCACCAACAGTCACCCACAATATATTATGATGTAGGCCTCTACCATAACAAACGACACTGCATTTGTCAGTTCACAGAAGAAATCATAAAAAATCTTTTTCCTTATTTTTTTCCCTTTACTTTTTTAGGTGCATGCGGTCTAGATTTTGGAATACAATACAAATCTGGAAACATAATTTCCCCACCTTCAACTATTGGTAATGGTAAGGAAGCTGTAATTACAATTTAAGGAAGTTGAGTTTACATTATAAATTGAATGACAATATTAAGAGAGTAATTCAATTAATTACTTATAATTTCATGTAAGATTCTTCCGTCCATTAATTTCAGTTTCATTTTCAACATCAGCATCCCCTTCCTAAGGTATGATATATATTTTTAGTAATACGGTTTAGTGGTATTTCTCTTCGCTTAGAAGTGAGAGATCTTAGGTTTGAATCTCGTGGATGGTGAATTCGATACCAAATTAGGTTGCTCCTTGTGTGGCTTTGTCGGACTCCCCCTCCTCCTAGTGTAAAAATATCGATGTACTAAAAAAAACGATAGTATTAGTGGAGAGTTGGTGGAGAGGTGTTAAAGGGGAAATAGAGTTGGTGACTCCACAACGTAATAAGCATTTCAGCTGTTCGAAACTCTATAGATCTCAACTATTCAAAACCCTAAAATTAGTTATCCCAACAGGATTTACAAACACAAATTTTACAGAAGATTTATGGTAATTCCATGGTTCGGTACTGTGATAATTTCTAGTTATTTTTTTTCTTTTTGCTCACTTTCCAGCAGACCTATTGGAAGCTTAATCCTATCATGCCGAAGGAGGATTCAACCACAAATCAACTTGAAGGGCGAATGTTCAAAAGAAAATTAATAAGCCCATAAGGACTAATCGGAGTAGAACCAAGTGAGGAAGCTGGTAATGGCCCGTACCGGCCCAAGTCCAAACAATTAAGTCCAATTAACTTCACCTCCAATATTATTCCTTTTCGATTGGTTAAGGGCTCGTTTGTAATTGATTTTAAAATGACTGAAAACACTTAAAGTGCTTCTTGCAGGAAGCGCTAGTTATGTGCTTTTTGCAAGAAATACTTTAAATGCTTTTCTATGATTCATTTGCATTTTTATTAAGGATTGATTTCAAAAGCACTATCATTTGAAAACAATTTCTATCATTTTAAAGTTATATGAATGAGATGATGATATCTAAAGTAAGCTCAATGTTCCTAATCATAATTTTAACAATATTACAGGAAGAATTGGAACAGAAAATCCGTTCAGGATACAACATGCGGTTGCATCTTTTGCTGCTCATTTGCATCACTACTACAGTTACTATTTTCCGCAGCCAAAGACTACGAAACAAGCACATTTCACTCCATTGCAGATGGCGAGACCTTAGTCTCAACTGGTGGAACCTTTGAGCTCAGATTTTTCATTCCCAGCTCTTCTGAAAACCGATACGTGGGGATATGTTACAAGGAGATATTGGTTATCACATTTGTATGGGTAGCCAACCGAGACTCACCCCTCATTGATTCATCAGATCTACTCACGGTCACCATCCCTGGAATTCTTGTCCTTTGGTCCTCGAACACACCAACATCTGCGTCGAATCCAGCAGCACAGCTTTCGGATTCAGAAATCTTGTTGTGACCGATTGTAATGATCGTACCGACCCTGAGAATTTTATGTGGCAGAGTTTTGATTACCATGGTGACACATTCCTATCAGGTACAAAACTCAGTAGGAACACAATTACCTGCTTTGCTTGTAAAATATAGTTCTTGATACATTGCCTTGCACGGTTACATTACATGTTCTCAGAATATGTTGTCGATGGGTTCTACTAGATAAAATCTGACATTTATAGTTTTAGTGTTACGGTGCTCGAGATAGTGAATGGGAAGAGAAACAAAGGATTTTCTCATCCAGGCCACAACCTCAACCTGCTAGGACATGTAAGTGCCAGTTGTCAAGTTGATAATTTTTCATCGAATTATGCTAGAAGGACTATATTCTGACTGCATTAGCTAATGATATACATTGTGTGACAGTGACTTCTCTATTAACATTTGGTGACTATAACTCATGTAAAAAATGGATTCGATTCTGCTTAAAAATATAAAATGTGGTTCGTCTAGCATTATTGTTTATATTGACTCGATTATTTATACTTCTATTTATTCAGTACGATTGGTGGTTGTGATCTTTTAGGCATGAAGTTTACACGTAGAAGGCAAGTCCATTGAACTGCTCGATACATCGGTAGGAGACTTCAGTAATCCACATGTCGTTTTGCTGTCAATCCATGTGTCTTTTATGCATGCAACAAAATCCGGCAGTAATTCTGATGTTGAGTGGTGAAAGTGCATTGCCTCAACCTCAAAAACCTGGTTTTTATAGTGAAAGGGATCTAGAGGACCTTATTTGTACCATACTTGACCAATCTCGAAACTACTGAGCACCGATCAACGTTATACCGTCAAGGACCCAGAAGAGTATCCTTCCAACTAGGAGCCAATCATAGTGAGACACGTGTCAACATCAGAAGCCAATCATAACACGACACGTGTCAATATCAAAACGAAGCTAGAAACTCTCTTCTATAAAAGGAGATCATTCTCCCACAATATTTCCTAATGTCATTTGTACTAAATCATTCACTAGAACTCACTAAAGGAGAGCTTGAACCTATGTACTTGTGTAAACCCTTCACAATTAATGAGAACTCCTCTACTATGTGGACGTACCTGTGGAGCCAAAAATATTCACTAGGCGACACGTGGATTTTTGGACAAAATAGGACAAAAATACCCTCGAGGCATACCGGGTCTCCTACACGCGAGCAGTTGAGAATCATCCATCAACCAAGTCAGGAGTACCCAAAATGGGTAACAATTCAAAACCTATTTCATATATGTTTTTACCTCATTTTTTCCTTATTCAATTAGCCATTTATTTCAAACATTCCATAACATCCTCAACCAATTAATATAATCAATATATTAAAGGCTATTTACATCACCAAATCACCCCAAAATCACACCAAGGTCCGGCCATTCCCATCCAAAAAGAGCCTATCATATTCTCTACCTTTTCCACCATTTTCCCCTTTTAATTACCCTAATTAACTAGCCAATTAATTCCAAAAACCACCAAAACATTCATTTTATGTTTAAATAGCCAAATAAATTGGCTAATTAAACCTAAATTAAACCTAAAAACCCTAGCCACCTCCTAACTCTATAAATAGGCACCTATTCTCATCAAAAAATCAATTCCAACACTTTGGCAAAAATCCCAAAATTCTCTAAACACTATTTCTCTCTAAATTCTAACTTTGGCATCGGAGGTTCTTCGGCCAAAGCCCCCCCCATTCATCGTGGGTGCGTGAGGCTCTTGGCCTTAACCTAAGGTGTTAATTATTTTGTAGGTGCAAAATCGTCCAAGATCGAGGAGGAAGAAATTTGCATCCACAAATTGGTGCTTTCATTGAGAGCTGAAATCCATACTCGTAGAAGACTCTCGCACAAAAAAGTGTTCAAGAAATGGGAGTGCCGAGATCCGTGAGGCAAAATGCGACAATAAGGGGAGCGGCATCACCACCACGAGTTTCCACCATGGGAACCACAGTGGTGGCTACCTAGGTAGCCACCCACGGCGAGGTCCATGGTGCCTTCATCACGGCCACCATGGGAACCACCGTGGTGGCTACTTCAGTAGCCATTTGTGGCGAGGTCCATGGAGCTTTCACCACGGCCCGAGCCGTGCCATCCAAGGCTCACGGTACCAAGACCACGACCCAAGCCGTGCCATCCAAGTTTACGTGGACCCAAGCCCAAGCCTCGCATTCACATGCACCGCGCGTTGAGCAGCCTGCTTCCGTCGAGCAGCCCACTCCCGTGGCCCAGCCTGCTCCTGCCAAGCAGCCTGCTCCCGACGAGCAGCCCACTCCCGTGGTCCAGCCTGTTTTCGTCGAGCAGCCCACTCCCGTGGTCGAGCCTGCTTCCGTTGAGCAGCCCACTCCCGTGGCCCAGCCTGTTCCTGCCAAGCATCCTGCTCTCGTGACCCAACCTGCTCCCGACGAGCAACCCACTCCCGTGGTCCAGCCTGCTTCCGTCGAGCAGCTCGCTCCCGTGGCCCAGCCTGCTCCTGCCAAGCATCCTGCTCTCGTGACCCAACCTGCTCCCGACGAGCAGCCCACTCCCGTGGTCCAGCCTGCTTCCGTCGAGCAGCTCACTCCCGCGGCCCAACCTGCTCCTGCCGAGCAGCCTGCTCTCGTGACCCAGCCTGCTCCCGACGAGCAGCCCACTCTCACGGCCCATCCTGCTCCAGTGGCTTTTCAAGCAGCCCAAGTCGACCCAAGACTATCTCAACCATCCGGACCTACCATCGAGCCGGGGGCATTCTCACCACATTTTTTCGCGGATTTGACATTTCCCAACTCAAATCTCACGCCCGGAGTCTACCACCCTTCCACTGCCCAACGAGGCGCATTCATTCCAAGCTTTTCCAATCCAAATGGCGAACAACACTTGTCTCGACAAGTCATAG